CCTCCCCTGCTCTCCCTCCCTCTCTTTCTCTCTCTCTAGAATAAATAAATAAATCTTTTAAAAAAATAGAGACCCAGAGATGCTGCTAAGCATTCTACAATTCACAGGACAGGCCCTCACAACAAAGAATTATATGGCCCAAATGGGAATAATACCAAAGTTTAGAATCCCTATTTTAGAAAAATTGTTAGATTGAACCAAACAAAATTGATATTATTCACTATTTTTTTAACCTAAGAGTTGAATTTTATATGGTTAATCCTCTATTAACGGATACTAGGGATCAATTTTAAGATTTCATAATTTGAGTAACTGTTTCCATGGAACAGACCCCAACAACAAAGCACAATCTTGAATAAATGTCAGCAGTGACACTGTTAAGAAGCCCTTGTCTAAGCATATGAAAGTTGCCAACCAAGCTAACATGCTTTAAGATAAAATTTGTTCTGTCCCCACCTTGATAAATGTTGTGTATTAGTTTGTCATGATTGCAGATCTGCTTTTTTAAGGCTCAAGTGAAGTTGCTTTGATCTAAGAGTAAATTTCTTTACATTGAGGAAGCCTTGTCAGGACAATGTCATCATAATTGCTGTGCTACTGAGTGTTTTCGATATAAACATAAAATATAATGGACATTTAACCTTTAAATATCAAGAATTTGTGAGGACTTAAAGCAAACACTGAGCCTGCGCAAGGCTACTCTTTGCTGACCTAAATCGCTCACTGAAGACCGTGGGACATGAGCTCCTGCCATGGCACGGCTACTCTTTGCTGGCAGTGGTGGAAACCGTGCAGCCACCCCATGAAAGAAATCATCTTGCCCACCAACACTGGTGCCTTTGTTCTGCCAGCAAAACTTCCGATTTGTGCTGGCAGCTAGACATCAGTTTTTGGTTGGCTCAGCTAATTCTTCCAAGAACCAACCCATAGAAAGGGTTCACTAAATCTGGACTTTATTTCTTCCATCTCCCCTTCGCCTAAAACAATAGTGTAATTAATCTGTCACTGGTTTGGAGTTTTTATTTATTTACTGACTTATTAAGAGGCATGATCCTGTATGCTACTGGCTTGTGAGATATTATTATTATAAATTCTATTCCCACAGTAAACCTGCCTTAAATAAATTATTAGCAAAGACAGTCTCTGAGCATAATTTGCCATGAGCACAATAATAAAGAACATGGATAACAAACTGGATAACAAGTTTTACATTTTGAGTTTTTGGATTCCTCAGAGTTCCAGAACAGTGTCGGAGTCCCTGGCCCGTAGCGTGTTCTATCTCATGACAGACCCCAAACTCTTGTATGTGAACATCCCAGAATGCTTGTCCTAGTTCTGTCTGCCTATCTAAAACAGCCACTCTGGATTACCTTGTCATGTATAATAGTTTACACACCTGCACAGGTTGGCTCTCTGGAGGACTGGACCGAGAAAGAGGCCCATGCAGTTCCTACAAGCAGCCCAGAGCCATTTTGATAGGGATTCTGAAATATCCAGGGCATGGCCTGGGTTGTGACAGGAATTCTGCATAGGCGGTTTCCTTTGGTCAAGACTCACACTCAGGGATAAAACTGCTCTTTCTAGCCATATAATTGTTGGAGAAGATCATTGAGAGGATGTATCCACTCGGATGACCCTCGAACAGGACTCGGGCAATCAGAGTCTCCTTACCTTTCTGCTGTCCTTGGAATGTATATTCTGCTACTATTCTCGTACTAGCAGCTGTTTTAAGGATGAAGCCTTCAGAGAGTAAGGTGTTGAGATCATCTGGACTGAATATGTGACTAGCAGGCAGGTACAGAGATCTACTTATTTTGAGCTGCCCAAGACAAGCCTTCTATGTAAATTTCTTTGCTTATTAAAACTACCACCCACCATTCTGGAGTGGTTTGCCACTTTCTTTGGTTTCTCCTTGCTCTCCACATAGAGGGGCTAATTTAAGAACCAACAATAATATCAAATTGAAAATTGGGTTTTAAGATCTGATAATGAGTAGTCCTTTTAAAAAATGTAGGCATTTGACATTTCTATTCATTATTTGTATTAATGCTGTTGTGAAGTGACCTAGTGTTTTATGTCACAGATTAATAACTTGAAGCATTCAACATATGAGACAATTTTAACGTTATTAAATCATAGTTACAGGGGCGCCTGGGTGGCTCAGTTGGTTAAGCGACTGCCTTCGGCTCAGGTCATGATCCTGGAGTCACAGGATCGAGTCCCGCATCGGGCTCCCTGCTCGGCAGGGAGTCTGCTTCTCCCTCTGAACCTCCTCCCTCTCATGCTCTCTGTCTCTCATTCTCTCTGTCTCAAATAAATAAATAAAATTAAAAAAAAAATCATAGTTACAGTCATATCATAAGGTTAAAAGTAGATTAAAATTAAAGGCCCATATCTTCAAAAGACTCAGTTACATGCTAATTCATACATACTCACTGTGTAGAGGGAAATACTACTAAAATGGTGAATTTTAATAACATACCAATTTGAGCTTCTTCAGCTTTTATTTAAAATTAGAATGCTTAACAATTTCCTCATTTGTTCATGGTTTATAAATGAATCTTTATTAAGTAGAATGATTTATTTTACATATTAATGATAAATATAAAAGAAAACATCCATTCAACCAAATTTATAGAAGTGATAAAGGAATTATTATCTTTAGTTTAAACTTAAATTTGATCACAGATAATTCCAAGAGAAAATGTTACACTTAGTAAAATTGAAGTATATGATGTATTTTTTGGAAAGTTCTTGAAATAACAATGTACAGAAACTTGGAAGCATAGATGGCAAGGCATATTCTGGTGTCTGGGTTTTAAAAACAATTATTTCTTTTAACTACTTTTTGAAAAAAATTTTTTTAAAGATTCAATTTATTTGAGAGAGAGAGAGTGAGCGTGAGAGAGAAAGCATGAGCAGGGGGGAGAGGCAGAGGGAGAGGGAGAAGCAGACTACACTGAGCAGGGAGCCCAATGTGGGGCTCCCATCCCAGGACCCTGGGATCATGACCTGAGCTGAAGGCAGATGCTTAACCGACTGAGCCACCCAGGTGCCTCTAAAAAATTTGTTTTAAAATAGATGCCTAGTTGACATACAATGTTTTATATTCGTTTCAGTTGTATAACATAGTGATTCTGCAGTTCTATACATTATGCAGTGCTCACCGTGATAAGTGTAGTTACCGTCTGTCTCCATACACAGTTATTACAGTATTATTGACTGTATTTCCTATGCTGTAGTTTTCATCCCCTGACATTTATTTTATAACTAGAAGTTTAAATTAAATCTCAATCCCCTTCACCTATTTCATCCATCCCCCTAGCCGCCGCTGCTGGCAACCACTAGTTTGTTTTCTGTATTTATGAATCTTTTTTAAAAGTTTTGTTTATTTTGTTTTTTAGATTCCACATGTAAGTGAAATCATGTAGTATTTGTCTTTCTCTATCTAATTTATTTCATTAAACATTGTCCTCTCTAGGTCCATCTGTGGTTGTCCCAAATGGCAAGATCTCATTCTTTTTATGGTCCTGTAATATTCCATTGTATATATTTACCACAACTTTTAAGATTTTATTTATTTATTTGAGAGAGAGAGCAGAGTGAGAGAGAGAGCACAAGTGGGGTGGGAAGGGGCAGAGGGAGAGGGAGAAGCAGACTAACCACTGAGCAGGTAGCTCGATGCGGGGCTCAATTCCAGAACCCTGGGATTATGACCTTAGCCAAAGGCAGACGTTTAACCAACTGAGTCACTCATTTGCCCCTATTTACCACATTATGTTTATCCTTTCATCTACTGATGGACACTTGGGTTTTTTCCATATCTCATCTATTGCAAGTAAAGCTGCAATAAACAAAGGGATACATATATGTTTTCAAATTAGTGTTTTCATTTTCTTTGGTGAGTACCCAACAGTGGACTTACTAGATCATATGGCATTTCTATTTTTAATTTTTTGAGGAACTGCCATACTGTTTTTTACAGTGGCTGTGCCAATTTACATTCCAGCCAACAGTACACGAAGGTTCCCTTTTTTCCACATACTCACCAACACCTATTTCTCATCTTCTCAACCATAGCACTCTGAGAGATGCCTCAGTGGCTCAGTTGGTTAAGCATCTGCCTTCAGCTCAGGTCATGATCCCAGGGTCCTGGGATCGAGTCCCACATCAGGCTCTTTGTTCAGGAGGGAGCCTGCTTCTCCCTCTGCCTGCAGCTCCCCCCTGCTTGTGCTCTCTCTCCTTCGCTGACGTGAACAAATAAGAAGTTTAAAAAAAAAAAAATAGCACTCTGGTGTAATGTGATACCTATTGTGGTAACTAGGTTTTTATACTTTATTTCTAGGAACACATTATTCCCTTATATCTTGAGAGTTGTAATTTATATTACTACAAGAATTATTGAAATGCTATGAGAATCCAATTTGTGATCCTAACTATAACATCTAAAAACATAAAAGTATGTGTATATGTGTGTGTGCCAAAGAGAGGAGGGAATAGAGAGAAATAAAGAGAAGAGTTAGCCAGAAGCAACTTTAATCTAAAGACAAATTTTATGGGATTAACATATTTTAAGGCAGTAGGCATTTCTGCAGTCCCCTTTAAACTTTATACCTTTTACAGTTCCTTTATAAAGCACCCTTATTGTGCTCTTCATTAAGATTTGTAAAGGAAAGTCACAGAAAGTAAGTTGTAGTTTTGTCATATTTATGTTGAATGGGTTCCATGGAAGTATTTTAAGAGACATTAAAAAAAAGAATGGCATCTTAAATTCCATGAAATTGAGAGTGTAAATAGCTGGCATCCATGATAACTATGAGGCACCATGTGAAATTGAGCCTTTTAAACGGTAGGATAGAACAGTGAGAAAAAAAGAAGAGAGAAAGAATTCTGTTTTTATATATGAATACCCTAATTTTTAAATGTTACCTAAAATGTTTTAGCATAATTTTACACTTAAAATGTGGTATAATCATTGTCTGTGAATTTTATTTTTCCAGCTTGTTTTCTAGGAGCATCGAACTGACCACTTACATTTATATCTGGGAGAACTACAGGCTCATCAGTTTGCCTTGGCATTCTCCATGGACTTGGTATTTAACTTTCTTAGGAGTTGATTTTGGCTACTACTGGTTCCATCGCATGGCCCATGGTAAGTTGCAAATCAAGGTTTTATTGATAATTTATGTTGAATTGTGTTTTGCTCATAGTAGGTATTCAGTAAATATTGAATGAATGAATAAATGAATAACATGGCTTATTTTATAGCCTATAAAGATTAATGATGAAAGTTTCGTTTGAAATTTAAGTGGAAACAATCTAGTCATTTTTGAAAAAAAGTGAAATTATTAGAGATACATTTTTCACACCTCTTGTATCTAACTTGTTAAAAAGTTGAGAAAGTGATGACTGTGGCATTACTCTTTAATATACTGCCTTCCATTTTTCTTATTATGACATGCTTGGTAGAGTCTACAGACTCTTGTACTTCACATCACAGTTATCAGAGGTCATTCAGAAGAGCTCTGGAATCCTAGGTAATGTGTGCTGTCACACATAAGCTTGATGCAGGTTCTTGGCACTAAGTCCACATTGCAAATGAAAATGCAATCATCTAGGCACTAACCATAATGCATTTCAGTATTACCATAGTTTTGCAAAATTTCTCATCTAATATAAAGCCCTCTTACTGCACTGGTTCACTGAATCTGCTTTTGGGGACTCGTAGCTGTACGTTCCAAAGAAATGTTTTGTTATGAAAAGGGAAATGGAAGAACAGGAAACAATCTAAACCTCTGTAGGGCTAAGTAGAGATTGGAGAATGATTGTAAAGGTAAGGTGAGCAAGTGGTTTCTAAGGAGGAAGAGGCGTGCAAAAGCATTTCTGAAGGGAAATGGGGGAAAGTACTAATTTTGAAAACCTACTGAAGAGTAGAACTGAGCATTTCAGTGGGTGGTTGGGTTGAGTGGGTGGGGAGGAAGGAAGGAAGAGGAAGAAATCTGGAATAATAATACAAAGTAGATGGGAGATGGCAAGGAGACCTGAGATCAGGGTGAATAACCGAGCAATGTGTGTAGGAGTATGGTGACCAAACATCCTTCCCAAAAGAGGATGAAGGAAATAGGAGCAACATAGGCAAACATTATGCTTAAGGCAGCGAAATTTTAAATGCAGCATTATTTTTGTTAAGTATTTTAAACATGTACATATAATGAAACTATAAAGAATGTTAATTCATTGAAACAATTTGAAGGGAATATATAAATTAGAAAAAGTTATTTATTTTGTGTGTGATAACCTTTGTCTTGGAAAATAATAGGTCAGCCCCTGACATCATTTCCTTGAGTATAAATGCAAGAGGATACTCCCAAATTGAACATGGCTGGGAATAAAATATGGTCATGTAGTAAACTTTGTATTTTATTTCAAAACAGTAGTTTTCTCCCTAAAATAAACCCATTGGCAAGCTTCCTCATTTTCTATACAATAAACGGGTAATGCAGAAAGCATTTATGTTGTATCACTTAATTTCAGGAGCCTTCTAATATCACACTGTCCTGTACAGATGTGTTTGTGTGGGAAATCTGCAAATTCGCTTAATCTTTAAAAGCCCATTATAACAGGAAGCAAAGAACCAACAAAATATTACCAAATATAAAACTTTTAAAAATATATGTATTGTTAAGTGCTCTCAGTTAGGGAAGAGCAATAAAGTAAAATAATAAATTAAATACATGGAATCAAGGCTGTTTAAAGTATGCTTCCCATTAGAAAATTTTGAGCCAAATCCAGTGGAGGCAGGCATTAAAAAAAATCTGAAAACCTTCTGGAAAAATACTCACCACCTTCAGGCTATGAAGTCTAATCTAAATTGAAAGACTTTTGACTTGTGAGGGAAAGCTCATAGGAAAAAAATAAATTAGTAGTTGAATGTATCAACCTTCAATATGATAGCTGACTTCTAAATTTTATGTGATATTAATATAAAATATTAAAATGGATTTTTAGAAACCTAGAAGTACACAGGAGTAAGAAAAACTTATAATATCAAGTTTCATGAGGCTCTGGGGTTGCTGAGGTCGTACTGATTAATTAGTCAAATTTATTTAGCTGAGAAGTTTGAAGACTTCTAAAATTCTAATGTTGATCTAAAATATAAGAAAAATCCCTCTTTTCCTACTTAATGTGTTACTTTCCTTTCACTACTTGTAATAAAATAATAAACTAAAAATGCATTCCACATTTGTTGATATGTTAAATGCTATGAGTTTTGAAGAAACAATATATACTTTTTATTTTTACATGTATATAAACTATTTCTTTAGTAGTCCAAATTACTTTTAGGGTTTTTGTTGTTGTTGTTTTGTTGTTGTTATTTGGTTTGTATAAATGCAGAATTTTCTCACATTAAGAGTATGGAAAAGAGTTAATTCTCAAAAACTTGAATTCGATTTCTATTCCTGTACAAAAGAACAGAGGGATATTTGAGTCTCTTATGTTATCTAAATTTCATTCCCTTTTCCTCTGGAATAATGAGAAATGAATTGCCAAATATTGTCAACTTACAGAAAAAGAAGAAGAGCACAATAACTTCTATAAAGTGCCTTGACATCGTTAGAAAGAAATGTAAAATGACACAATTAAATAGGTCTTAAATTAAAAGTAACTTCTGGCACGCTTAGTCTCCAATACAAAAGGATACATTATTTTTGTTTGTCTTTCCTATTAGTTATACTAAACATGTAAAAAATCGAGTAAAGGTTTTTAAGGGAACACTTAAAATGTAAATGATTACTACTTAGCAAGAGCAAGAATGAGCCTTCCAGAGTGCTAGTTATGGACTTGGGTCTTGTCTTGGGTGGTAGCTACATGAGTGCATGTACTTGTAAGAAACATGTTGAGTTGTGTACTTAAGATTTACATACTTTACCTATAGTTCAAAAAAAGTTAAATTAGTAAACAATCCCACCAGTATGATTTCTTAGTGAATAGTTTGAAGTCAGAATGATATAATGATTAACCCAATTTAGAAATAAGAACCAAGAAATTATTGTTTGTGACTGTAAGCATAAACACTTACCAGAGATGGATCCTACAGACATTTCTCCTTTGCAAGCTCACTTGATGTTAGGCTTTGTCAATTTAAAAGATTGGGAGGATAGGACAGAGCCAGAACAGCAGGGGCTTTGTTCCATTTTCCAGAGTGCTGTTTTTCGTGTGGCACTTAGCAGACTGATGCCCAGGGATCTTGGTAGTATTCACCCCATGGTTTATTTATAGCCTATGACTTTTGGTAGGGTCCTCTGCCCTCTGGGGGACCACATCAGAGGACTGCCTGTAATATACTCCCTCTGGGGTCTGTATACTCTAGCAAGTCTTTCTGTCTCCACCAGAGTTCCCGTGGTAGCCACAACCTCTCCAAAGATGTCTGACTCTTAGACTTGGCGGTTGTGGGGGGAGGGGAATTTTCCTAAATTCATACATGCCTGCTTTGTTCATTCTCTCTCAGCTCCATAGGCAATAACTGTCTATATAGGTGTTACTTCTGTACCACTGAACTACTCCCTGTTTCCCTCTTTCAGTAGTTAATGCCTTTTTTTTAATCAATTAATAATTCATTATATTAACTTACTCTTTTTCAAACTATTGGTGGGTTTTGTCTCCTGATTGGATTCTGACTGATAAAGTCAACCTCCCCACATATTATATAGGGTTGTAAATTGAAGTTCACCTGACTATACCTTTAATATCCCATTCTGAGGCATTGATTACACATTGAGGCTATAATATGATTTAATTCATTTCTGGAATAAAGATGTTCATCCATAAAATTGTTACAATAAAAATCTATAGAAACCCCTCAAACTCTTCATTCTTTTTTTTTTTTTAATTCTTATGTTAATCCCCATACATTACATCATTAGTTTTAGATG